ACAACTTTTTAAACTTTTTTTTTGTTTTCATAAAAATTTTAAAAGTTTTTTTTTTTTAAATATATTTGCATACCTGTAATATTTTATGTAAAAAACTTTTTTTTGGGGGGCGGGGGTGAGATTCGGGGGGGGGGGGGGAGCGAGGAAAGAAAAATCAAACCAAAAAAAAAAAACAACAAAAATCATACCAATAATACCCTTTTTTTTATTTTTGTTTTCTTTTTTTTCCTCCATTTGCAATTTACTTTTTATTTTATTGAATTTTAAATTTTCCAACAACAACAACAAAAAATTTTTTTTCTCCTTTTTCCAAAACGTGACCCCTCCCCCTTTCCTCTTCTTTCCTCCTCCCCTTCCCCTCCCTTCTTTCCATTTTCTATTTAAATTATTTTTGAAAAAAAAAAAATAACAATTTAAAAGTCTCTCGTTGTTAAAGCGGTTGTTTGTTTGTTTGTTTTAACACAGTAAAATTATATTTTAACGTGGATTTAAAAAAAAAAAAAAAAAAAAAAAAAAACAAAACAAATAACAAACGCAAACAAACAAATCCCCGTCGGTAAGAAAGAAAGGACAACAACCAACGGGGATTTTGCGCAGGAAAATTTAAACCGATCAATTTTATTTTATTTCATAAAAAAATAAAAAAAAAAAAGAAAAAAAGAAAAGAAAAAAATTTTCTTTTTTAATTTATTTTATTTTGATAACTATGACAAAATGGCGGGTCAAATAAATTTTTTTTCTTTTTTTTTTTGTTATTAACAAATTTAATTTCGTTTCGAACGATAACAAAAAGAAAAAAGGCGGGAAATTCAAAAAGAAAGAAAGAAAATTTTTTTCTTATACTTTTTTTTAGTATTTTTTAATTGTCTTAACATGTTTTTTTTTTTTCTAGAATGTTTTTATTGTACGAGAAAATAATAATGTGTGTGTGTGTAAGCAGAAGACAGAATAAGAAGAAAATAAGACGAAAGAGTTTAGAAAAAAACGAACGAACGAACGAACGCCAAGTGGAAATTTCGTTTAAGTCGATAAAGGATAGAATAAAATAGTGGGAAAAAAAGGTTTGCGAACGTGAGTCAGTCGTCGAAAAGTCGGCGTTCGTTAAACGTTAAACGTTCGTATACCGATAACAAAAAAAAAAAAAAAATAATAATAATAATTTTTTTTCTTTTTGTTTGTTTTGTTTGTTTTTTGTGTTTTCAAAAACATTCGTTTTTCGTAATTAATTTTATTACTTTTTTTTTTTAACGAACCGAACGCCTAAAAAAATTTTTCTTTTTTTTTATCGTGTGTGTATATTAACTTGTATATTTTATTCGTCGAACGCTTTTTTTTTTGTTTTCTTTTCTATTATCCGGGGGTTAAAAAATAAGGTTTCGATTTTTTTCTTTTTTAAATTTAAAATGTGAATTGTTTGAGTCTCCTTTTCGAGAAAAGGAAAAAGAAAAACAAAAAAAAAGGTAAAGTGAAAAACTCGTTATTCCGATACGAAATCGTAAATTTTGTTTTTGTGTGGTAACCTTTTTCCTTTTTCTTTTCTTTTTAAAAGGTTTTTTTTTCTCTCTCTCTTCTTAAATTATTAATTTTTAACCTTAATATTTTAAACAAACGTCTCCATTTTTTTCTTTTTCCGTTAGTAGAAATAATATTTTATTTATCAAAGCGTTAAAA